ACTCTTTCCAATCAAATGGTGAGTCAATCTCATTCACTCACACACTTTGGCCTGAATATGTTAATTTCTTCTAACTTACCCTGTTTGTGTGTTTGTTTTCAGGCGGTGACTCTGCACACAAACCTAGGCGACATCAAGTGCGAAATTTTCTGTGACGAGGTCCCCAAGACCTCCGAGGCATGCTTATCTTCTCCCCTTCCTTTCAATCATCCCGTGATTTTTTTCATTTTAATGCAAACTTTTTTTTTTTTTTTTTGGTGTGTGTGAAATACCGAGCCGTAGTTTCAATTTTGATTGAAAAACCAGCAATAAAAATGCCAAACACATTGTTCTAAGTTTTATTTGTGAACAAAATAACTGCATTACCGGATTCTCTGCAGACGTGAATTTAACACATTCAAAGACTTTATAAGTGAGTGAATCCTCAACTTACAATGCAGTTTTGTAAGATTTAATTAGACACCCATAACCTACAATTTAAGTTGATATTAGCGTTATCCTAAATGTATTTTAAAAAGGGTCACATCATTTATATGCGCACCAAGTCGAATAGTGTTAGGTCTAAGTGTGAGGGGTATAATAAGAAAAATCCAAGTGTCGGGTTCTTTTTAATGATTTAGGAAAGGCAGAACATGAGTTTATATGTATGTAACTGTTGGATGAAGATCGGCTGAATCATATTTTATCTCATAAATCAGACTTAAAATATTCATGCCAAATTTGAACCATCTGGTGTTGGTTCTTGAGTGAGTGAATGCACCGAATCCAGTTCCCTGTTGCATTATTTATTAGAGGAAATGGATTCTATACATTTATGAATCTGGAACGTTGGATCATGAATGAAGAAGCAACGGTTTGCAATTTGAATGTGTATTTTTAATTGAGTTGATTGAAATAAAATGAGTCATTCCTTTTGTCTGGGTTGCAGGGAATCTAGTTTTTGCCTAATAATGATTAGACTTATCTCATTCTTGTCCTTTATATGATGTGGTTTTTCTGTTTAGAAGGGTGTTGTAGCTAACAGTTTGATTCTCGTGTGCAAATGTGTTTCGATCCAGAATTTTTTAGCACTATGTGGAAGTGGTTATTATGATGGTACTATATTTCACCGCAACATTAAGGGTTTTATGATTCAAGGTGGAGACCCAACTGGAACTGGCAAAGGGGGAACAAGTATATGGGGCAAGAAATTTAATGATGAGATAAGAGAGTCTCTGAAGGCGAGTTCATTTCATCCACTATAAATCCTTGTCTTTAGGGTCATGTATTCCATTAGGTAGCATTTCTATAATCTGCTAGAACAGAACATAACATGTGATTTCTATTTTATGTTTGATGCATTTTAAAGATAAAATGAACAAGGACATAGGATAGAAGTAGCATATTTTGGTTTTGCTTGTTTTGATTCTCAATGTTAGTAACGGATTTGAATGTAGAAATGGCACATGTTTTCCATTGGATGAATAACAATTTAGATATAATGTTATCAAGAGGATGCTATTGAAAAACATATTTGCATGCAAAATGGCTTTTAAAGTTACTCCAAACTATTTCATCATATTTGAGAGCTATCCCTATAACTGAAAACAAAAATGCACTAAGCAATCTCTAGCTAAAACGAGACTTATTTCTTGCAACTTTTAACTTTGTAATTTTATGGAGCTTTAACAAAGTATCAATTTCATCATAACCTAATCAATTGTCTTTAGCATGTTAAAAACTTAAATTATTTTATATTATTTTATTTATGTATGTCTTGATTGGTCAACTCTTTTTCTCTGGTTCATGAATGTCAATTTTATTGTATTGAATATAATTATCTTAAAGCTGTTACATTTTAGGATCTCATCAAATGTGATTAATTTATCATTTTAGTTTATGATGGTAATGTTGAGCTTTGGGATGTCTCATAAGAATAGCAGGACTTTCATTTTGATGTGCTTGATAGAGCAATAATTGTCGTATAGAATATTAGGCATTTTCTTCATATGACGATTGTTGTAGCTAATAAGCTGGCTTTTTGTATGCTCCAGCACAATGCAAGGGGAATATTGGCAATGGCTAACAGTGGTCCAAATACTAATGGAAGTCAATTCTTCATAACTTACGCAAAGCAGCCACATTTAAATGGGCTATACACTGTGTTTGGCAGAGTAATTCATGGGTTTGAAGTTCTTGATCTCATGGAAAAGGTACCTTCTTCTTAAGTCATTATTGAAGTTGCCTTTTCTCTTTTTAAAAAAAATGGCTTGGTTTGGTTTGGTTTGGCAACTTATGTAGGATCTGCATTTTTTTGGTGGCATATTCATGTGGCTCGTCTAGAGAATGTGTGTTATCATAGAAAATAATAAATAATATGCTTCTCTGTTCTGCAGACTCAAACAGGGGCAGGGGACCGACCACTTGCTGAGATAAGGCTCAATCGTGTAACAATACATGCTAATCCACTTGCTGGTTAGACTTTTGTCTCATGTAAAAAGCTTTTATTATCAAAAGTTGATCAAGCTTTAAGGGAAGGAGAAAGGTTTCATATACTGATTTAAGTACTTACTCATACCTACTTCTAATTCAAAGAAGCATTTTGATAATGTAGTAAAATGTATATTGAATTGTGAGATATGCATGGAATATAATAAGCACATTTTTATGGATTAGTTTAAGTGGCTAAATTTATGGTGTGAGATCTTGGTATCTAGGTGATCTTAGATGAAGCAAAAAGTATTTCCTATAATTAAAATATGTTTGAGCCAAACATGTATAGATGAAAGGTTTCCTATTGAGTTGTACACATTGTAGTAGGCCGAAACGAACTTGAGGCGGGGAAGGATAAGATTGGCAAAGATAATATTTTCATATGGCTAATGATCTACTAGCTTTGTTTAATCAGAGTATTATAGTATGTGGCTGGATCCTTACAAAAAGAAATGGTATGATCTTAGTATTTATCGGTAAATGAGCATCAAGAGCTTAGCGTTTGTACCACGAATCACATTTTAGTTGCTCCGTTTAGTAGTAAGGAAAGAAATAAAGTGAACAAGAATGGAAAAGAGAGGAATTGGTGGAAAATAAGATGGGATCTTTAGTAGTTTAGGGTTCAAGCTCGTATTTAATTAGTCAAAATTCGTGGATAAACGTATCGGTTCGCGAATCTAAATAATGATTAAAAAAATTTATTTTTAAAAAATAAAAATACATAAAATTAGAAAAAAAATATTTTTTATTTATAAACTAAATTTCATTACGTTAAAGTTAATCAACATTTAAAATGGTTTAAAATATTAAATATTAAAATATTATAATAAAAAATATTATAAATACTTTTATAATAATATCAAACATTTAATAATAAAAACATGAAAATATCATAAAAATAATTTAAATAATAAATATATATTAACTAAATATAGTTTTAATATCATAATAATTTAAAAAATTAAATATATAATTAAATATTAAATTTTTAATATTTAAAAATATTAATTAGTGAAATTTGTAGATTAATCTATGAGTTCTTGGATTAAATTCGTCAAATTCATGGATTTCACATATTAAACTTAAAAATTAAATATAATCATACAAATTTTAAAAAAAAATAGATTTATTATTCATAAAGTTTTTAAACTTACATGTCGGTCTAGAGATTTAGGGTTAGGGCCACCCTTAATTACACAGCCGAAAAGTGCATATCACACTTTTATTTTGTGAGTGGGTTATCACACTTTTTGTTTCTTTCTCATTCTTATAAAATACACTATGTGGATGCTAAGCACCCTACTTGCAAATTGCAATTATGTCACTCTAGCATCTCTAGCCAATAAAGAATCACAGAAAATAAAATGATACATCCAAAAGAAAAAAATGGAATCATGATTGATTTGTTGAAGTTTACACGCGTGAGACATAAAGGACATACGAAGCTTAAATGCATTACAGAACATTATTATACGCTACACCTTTTTAAAAAACTAATATATAATCAACTTAAATATTTCTTCATATAGAGATTTAATTCCTTCATGCAAAGTTACTCTCATTCCTTTATCTTTTTTCTTCTTCTCACATTTTTGTGATCATAAACTTTTTATTTGAACTATCAATTTGCTTCTTGCAAAGCTGCTACTGATATTTTGTATGCTTTAACACACTATTTTTTTTTCTTTTATCGAATCAAACCTAAACCACCATAATATCAAATATCAAATCTAGAAACCGTCCATTTAAAATAGTTGTATGTTATTCCATAAATCATGAGAATAAAATTAGGTGAGCTCTATCGTGAACTTATGATTCATGTGGTTCATGTATGAATCAACAAAATGAAGTGTAATTATCACGTGGTTCATTGGTAGAGGAAAAAGAATATCATTAGATATATGAATAATTAAATTGAACAACACAAATTTATTTGGTGATAAAAAACTTATTTATGTAAATTTTATTTTATGATGGTAAATGCCCATTTTGTCCAAAAAAAAGGAGAAAATTTTCATCCTTTCAAAATGTTCTTAAGCCAACCTTCACTAAGGTAGTCATCGTATCACCGCCATAAATTCATCAGCACTAGTACCATTCAATTTAACACTTCTAACGACTTCGTGTCGAAAAGGTGTGATGATCGATCAACGCAATTCTCATAGCAAGTGTTCCCACTTGCACACATATTCTGACATCGATACCAATAACAAGCACCTCAACCTTTGTCCCCCTCCACAAGATAGACAACATCATCGATCGCAATAATGACACTGTAAAACAACTCTATGTCAACACCAGAATAAGATTCGCATCAGTGAACCTTGATTATAACGAGCACGACGTCATTGTCCACACTGCTTTCGAGGAGATCAATTATCTTGACAACACCAACGACCATGTCTCACCCGTAGGACACACTTTTCTAGAACTACCAGTGCTCTTCGTCAACAGTGATGAATCCAAAAGTTTTAGGTAAGAGGGACAATGCTCATAAATAAATTTATAACATTAAACATATAACTTTACATTGTTTTGAAATATAAATATACATCAAATTGTTCTCTATAAGATTCATATTATAAAAATATTGAATAATTTTTTCATTTTCAACGCTTTCAAAAATATTTCTCTATATAATCAAGTAAGTAAACAATCATGTAACCATTCATATCTCATAAAAAAAAATTTTGACATCTTTTCTTTTAAAAATAGTATAATATGGGCTTAGATCAACAATCACTTCTTAATAATCCCTTTATTGATTTAGCTATAATAATATTTTCTTCACCCCATAATAAGTTTCATCCTATGTTATTTTATGCAAACTAAAAAAAAATATGATTAATTTTCTGTATTATAAACAATGTAACACAATTATAACTTTTTAAAGAATATTATTAAGGGTATAAATGAAAAATGATAATTACTACTACATTGAAAACCTAACATAACACTTATTTTGAGACTTTTTTTTTCTTCTTTCAAATACGATACTAATTATGAGACAAAGAGAGTATTATATATACTATAAAAATATACTTCAAAAAATTAATATATTAACTTTGACATTTTTTACAAAATAAAAATATAGAAAAGAGTGAAGGTACCTAATTTTAAACTTGAAAGTATGAATATTTTATTATAATATGTACATAAAAAAATTAAATATGAAAAAGTTAGTCAAAGCCTTTTTCCCCCATTATGTTGAACTTAAATTCGTCCCTGGTTGTCAAGGACACACATGATGACAACAACGACACCAATCATATCACTATCAAACTCCTATTGTCCTTCAATCAAATTGGATATGTCATTTATAAAGGTGACAAGATTGTGCATTTGTTGATTCTAAAGCCCTAATGTATTTCTATAGCTTCATCCTTGACCTAGTCATTCCTACAACACTACCTCCATCGTCGACAATGAGACGATGCTCATCAACAACGGGAAGTTCTCCTATACCTCCAACCAGTGGGGATCAGGATTGTCCAACGACTTTAACCGATTCGATCAATCGTGGCATTTCGATTCTGTACAGGTAGGGGGGTTCGGCCACCACCCCATCAGCCGCCGAATGGCAGAACCAGGAAGTCGAATGCCAATCGGCCACCAGGATCGGCCTATCATCATTTGGTACTCTTAATCAGAGATTAGAGGTTAATTAGTCGATTAAGGTGTATTACCTAATACGGTAAATATGTCGCAGGGCCCATGGGGTCCAGGGCCCATAAATGTCAGTATAAATAGCTCAGGACAAAAGGTAACGTCACTGTTCATTAATTATCCTAGATATTCGTGCTTGTCCTGACTTGAGCGTTGGAGTGCCTTTTGCAGGTACCAACCCCTTCAACAGCGTATCGGATCGGAGCTTTCGTTCGGCCTTTGGACTACGAGAAGACTTAGTGTGCCCTTCAGATAGGTACATTTGGCGCCCACCGTGGGGCCGAACGACGATAGCTGGAAGATTAACTGAATTGAGATATGGCGATAACTAGGAGAACTAACACACAAGACCACCAACATGAAGAGGAAGAACACGTTGAGGTTGTTGACGAAACAGATCTTTCTGAAGCCGTTCGGTTGTTGAAGCAAGAAATGGAGGCCATGAAACAACAACGAGAAAAAGATGCAAGGGAGCTTTCGGCTTTGAGAGCTGAAAACGAGGCGTTAAAAAATCAACATACCTCATGGAGACCTACTCAGGCCACCAACACACAAACTCAAGAGTCGTATCAATCCCAAGCAATACCGTTGGTCGTCCTGCAGATTTGACAACTATCGGATCACATCGACACCCTTTCACCCCCTCCATTATGCAACTTCCCCTAATGGATAATTGGAAATCTTTACCTATAGATAAATATGATGGTACAACAGATCCTGATGAACACTTGGATGTTTTTCTGACGCAGGTAACTCTAAGCACCACGTATGATGTTGCGCTGTGTCGGATATTTCCAACATCTCTTAAAGGCCGAGCCTTGAGCTGGTTCACTCGGCTCCCTCCCAACTCTATCGACTCATTCAACACTCTGTCGGCACAATTCACCATCCAGTTTGCAACAAGTCGTCCTCACAGTTTGACATCTCTATCTTTGGTTGGTCTTCGACAGGACAAGAAGGAGTCGCTTCGGACCTTCATGGATCGGTTTAATAAGACGGCATTGGAGATCCGAGACCTCAATCCAGCCATAGCACTCCATCATCTCACAACGGCCTTAAAACCAGGACCGTTTGTCAATAGCCTCTGCAAGAAGCCTCCTTCGGACATGAATGACCTACGGAGGAGGGCCAATAAATATATGTAAATGGAAGAATTAGCTGAGTACCGCAATCAGGCCCGAGCTGAACCATTGGGCAAACCCGAAAAGCAAGCGGAACAACCATACAGGGGGCGAGGCAAAGAGCTAACTCTTCGGGATCGCCCGGCGCGAGGTTCAAAGTACTCTCATTATACTCCCTTAAATGCGAGCCGAGTTGCAGTTCTTGAGCAAGCATTGGCATCAGAAGTGTTGGTGGTTCCAAAAAGAGCAGCAACCCCTCCTAGGGCCGATACCAACAAGTCTTGTAGGTATCATCGCAATCGGGGACATTCTACTGAAGAGTGTGCCGCCTTGAAGGATAGAATTGAAGACCTCATCAAGCAAGGGCAACTCCAAAATTTTATCGATCGGCCAAATACATCTCGGCATCGCTCATCCTACCAGTATCAGCAGCGAGACCGACCTGAGTGCTTAGATAGACAGCGGCGTGAGCGCAGCCGATCGCGAGATCGGAAAGGTGAGCAACAAGCATCGCAAAGGTGTGTGATCAATACCATCGCAGGGGGCTTTGCCGGAGGAGGATCAACTTCGTCGGCTCAGAAGAGACATCTACGAGTGGTTCGGTCGGTCAGTCATGTCGAACAACGTCCAAATCGGCGAATGCCCGCTATCACATTCACTGACAAGGACTTTCAAGGAATTGATCCGGTGCAGGATGACCCTATGGTCATCAGTGTTGAGATCCATAATTGTATTGTGAAGAAAACTCTCATAAATCAAGGCAGTTCGGCCGATATTTTATACTGGAATACCTTCAAACAACTCGGCATCCCTGAGGAAGAGCTAACTTCTTACAATGAACCGCTTGTAGGATTTGCAGGTGAGAGAGTCAACACTAGAGGGTTCATCAAACTCTCCAATCGTTTTTGTTTCGACGAAAAGGAACATCGGGACATTCAGGTGAAGTATATTGTTGTTTAAGCCAACACATCATACAATATACTATTAGGTCGGCTGTCATTAAATGCCTTGGGGGCCATTGTCTCTACCCCCCATCTTTCCATGAAGTTCCCCTCCGACAGGGGGAACATCCTCACCATACATGCCGATCAGAAAGAAGCCCGAGAATGCTACTTTGCAAGTCTCCGCCTACCTCCAGTTGAAGAAAGACAAACAAAGGCAAGGCGTGTTCACGCGGTAACTCCTCAACCCTCAGAATCAGCTTCATGGGACCTTGATTCGAGGTTAAACGACGAGCGGGCGGAACCGATAGAAGAAAAGGTCCCTCTACAGGTCGGCTCGAACCCTTCCCAGGTTACTTACATCGGAATTGGTTTGTCAGAAACTGAAAGAACTGCGTTGTGCAGGGTCATCATCTCCAACAAAGATTTGTTTGCTTGGACGCCTTCGAACATGTCGGGCATAGATCCAGCATTCATGTGTCACAAGTTGTCGATTTGTCGAGCAGCCAAACTGGTCGCCCAACGAAAAAGGAAAATGGGAACAGAAAGAAAAGTTGCTGTTGAGTCAGAAGTTGCCAAATTGTTACAGGCTCGGTTCATTTGGGAAGTGCAGTACACTACTTGGCTGGCAAACGTAGTGATGGTTAAAAAACCGAATGGAAAATGGCGCATGTGCACGGATTACACCAATCTGAACAAGGCCTGCCCCAAGGAAGCCTACCCACTGCCTAATATCGACCGACTGGTCGATGGGGCATCCGGACATAAGTTACTAACTTTCCTAGATGCTTATTCGGGGTACAATCAAATCCGAATGCACCCGCAGGACGAGGTCAACACAACTTTCATCACGGACTCGGCCAACTACTGTTATAGGATAATGCCATTCGGACTAAAAAACGTGGGGGCAACCTATCAGCGATTAATGGACAAGGTATTCAAGGGTCAAATCGGCAAAAATCTCGAGGTCTACGTTGATGACATGGTGGTTAAGTCGAACGATATATGTGCACACAAGGGTGACTTATAGAAGTTTTCCACCAACTTCGGAAACACGACATGCGGTTGAACCCTGAGAAATGTGTTTTTGGCATTGCAGGAGGAAATTTCCTCGACTTCATGTTGTCAACCAGGGGTATTGAGGCAAACCCAGATAAATGTCAGGCAGTAATCGGCATGTGAAGTCCGCGTAATATCAAGGAAGTTCAGCAGTTGTCAGGTCGCCTAACGTCACTCTCTCGGTTCCTGCCCTGCTTAGCCGAGACGGCAAAGCCCATCATCAAACTGCTGAAGAAAGTAAACAAGTTCACATGGTCGGAAGAATGTCAAACAACTTTTCAAGCTTTAAAGCAGCGCCTCGGAACTCCTCCAATCCTTTCAAAACCCGACCCTACTTTGGACATCATCGTTTATATGTGCGTTTCACACGAGGCTATCAGCTCGGTATTAATACAAGAAAAGGAGACCCAAATTCCTATTTACTTTGTCAGCCGGATGTTACAAGAGTCAGAAGGGAGGTATCAGCTACTTGAAAAGGTCGCACTCGGACTTGTTCACACGGCTCGTAGACTTCGGCAGTACTTTTAGGGACATAAAGTTGTGGTACGTACTGACTGCCCTATCGCTAAGGTGTTGAGAAAACCTGAGTTGGCAGGTCGCATGATGGCATGGTCTATTGAGTTGTCCGAGTTTGACATCACATTCGAACCAAGGGGATCGATAAAATCATAATGCTTAGTAGACTTTGTCAACGAATTACAGCCGACAGGACTTTTCCAAAGTGATCAGTGGACGATCAGGGTCGACGGGTCGTCTAATTGAAGCACCGACAGGCATGGCACTTGAACAGTCGCTGCGATTTGCGTTCAAATCCTCTAATAACCAGGCCGAGTATGAGGCATTGTTGGCAGGTTTGAGGCTAGCCCGAGAAGTGGGCGTCAGAAAATTAATCTGTTGGACCGATTCAAAGATTGTCTCCGAACAAGTAAATGAAAATTTTCAAGTCAAAGACGCCCACTTGTTGAAGTACTATCATACGTTCTGGAATATGTGCCAATTTTTTGATGAAGTAATTGTAAAACACACGTCCCGTGAAAACAATGAACAAGCCGATCAATTAGCCCGGTTGGCTACGAGCAGTGGTAAACCTGGACAGCTCCGAACTACTCTTCACCTCGAGCTCGCCGTGCCAAGTATCAACAGTAGTGATTGTTTATTGGTCTCTGAGCCATCACCAACATGGATGACTGATATCACCCGTTTCATCACGGAAGGCGTCGAGCCTACATGTCCTTCGGTCGCCAAAAAGCTTCGCACTCAAGCCGCAAGGTACTCGGTTGTGGGGGGGGGGAACTTTATCGAAGAGGCTTTTCATCTCCCCTACTCAAATGCCTTCACCCCGAACAGGCCACTTATGTACTCATGGAAGTTCATGAAGGAATTTGTGGTTCTCACACCGGAAGGCAAACTTTAGCTGCTAAAGTGCTTCAGGCTGGCTATTACTGGCCCACACTCAAGACCGATTGCATGGAATTCGTCAAAAAATGTGTCTAGTGCCAAAAACATGGCAATTTGATACATGCCTCAGCCGAACAATTACACGACATCAATTCACCTTGGCCGTTTGCCTTGTGGGGAATGGATATACTCGGACCATTCCCAATGGCTAAAGGGCAATGCAAGTTTCTGTTAGTCGCGGGGGATTATTTCAACAAATGGATTGAGGCCGAACCTCTCGCCACTATCACTGCACATAATGTCCAGAAATTCCTTTGGAAAAATATCATCACACGCTTCGGGATTCCTCATGCCATCGTCACTGACAACGGACTTCAATTCACAGATCAGAAGCTCAACAAATTTCTTCAAGACTTAGAGTCAAACACCGATTCACGTCAATCAAACACCCCCAATCAAACGGCCAGGCTGAGGCCGCTAACAAGGTCATCCTCTCGGAATTGAAGAAACGCTTGGGGGCAGCAAAGGGCGCATGGGTCGAGGAGCTCTCAGAAGTGCTATGGGCGTATCGGTGTACACCTCAATCCACAACTCAAGAGACCCCTTTCCGACTGACATATGGCACCGACGCAATGATACCAGTTGAAGTCGGAGAACCTTCCTTTCGTCGAACACATTTCGACGAGGATTCCAATTAGGCATCTTTACGAGTGGAAATTGACCTAGTAGATGAAGTACGCGCTCGAGCTCAAATCGTAGCCGAAGCATGCAAGCAGAGGATGACAAGGAGGTTCAACTCTAACCTCAGTAAAAGAAGCTTCAAGACAAGAGATTTAGTATGGAGGGTCCAAGGTTCGGCAAGATGAAATCCGAGAGAAGGCAAGTTGGAAGCTAATTGGGATGGCCCGTTTCGAGTCCGAAACAACCTCGACAATGGCGCTTATAAATTGGAAGAACACTCGGGCAAGGTCATTCCAAGAACTTGGAACTCTTCTCACTTGAAGACATATTATAGTTAGTTACTTTTGAAAAGTTATCATTATGTAAACACATGGTGCACTCTTTTCCTTGTCGGTCTTTTCTCCCCTTATAAAAAAGTGAAAAGGGGTTTTGGCCGACAAGGTTTTTAACGAGGCACCCATAAATGAAATATCAGTTCTATTCTTCCATTTTGTTTACTCATCTTTTGCGAACTTCGGCACAATATGCAAAAGGCTTCCCTCCCGAGTTGATCAACTCGACCAAGGATGTGCCTCGGAAATTCACGCAAAAGGCTTCCCTCCCGAGTTGATCAACTCGGCCAAGGATGTGCCTCGGAAATTCACGCAAAAGGCTTCCCTCCCGAGTTGATCAACTCGGCCAAGGATGTGCCTCGGAAATTCACGCAAAAGGCTTCCCTCCCGAGTTGATCAACTCGGCCAAGGATGTGCCTCGGAAATTCACGCAAAAGGCTTCCCTCCCGAGTTGATCAATTCGGCCAAGGATGTGCCTTCAATCGAAAACGCAATTCCGAGTGAGTCCTCATTCGGTCTTGCTTGATAAGCAACGCAATTCCGAGTGAGTACCACTCGGTCTTGCTCAGAAAATAACGCAATGCCGAGTGAGTTCCACTCGGTATTGCTCAGAAAACACACAATTCCCGGGTGAGTCCTCATCCGGTTTTGCTTAGAAACCGAAGACATTTCTGAATGACATCTACTCGGTTTTGCTAAGACATCAAGACATTTCCGAATGACCTCCACTCGGTTTTGCTAAGACATCAAGACATTTCCGAATGACCTCCAATCGGTTTTGCTAAGACATCAAGACATTTCCGAATGACCTCCACTCGGTTTTGCTAAGAAATCAAGGCATTTCCGAATGACGCCCACTCGGTTTTGCTATGAACGCCAAGCATTTTCAAGTAACCCCCACTTGGTGTTGGACAATTATTTCGGAACAGTTTATATAAAATATTCTTGGAATAAATTCGTTAAGTTTTAAAGTTAAGAGAGACGATCCGAATTAGCATTGGTTCAAAAATACACCACATGATTCAACAGAAAATGCCATTACATTCAAAAAGTGGAGGCTCTATCGGCCCCCTTGCTACAAAAATTCAAAAAGTGGAGGCTCTATCGGCTCCCCTTATTACAAAAAACCTTGTAAAATACCAACACTACTCCTCCGAATTTCTGACCGTGTCATCCTGAGCATGAGTCTCAGTTTCCCCTTCTGGTTCGGGATTAGCATGTTCATCGTCCTCTTCACCAGACGAAGTGTCAGCATCTCCTTCCGGCTGGGGGGCAGCTCCTGGCTCCGAGTCATCAGGATTTGCCCCCTCGGGCATCTCAGCAAAGGACATAAATGACCCTTGATAAAAATCCTAGGTCATGTCGAATTCAAAGTCCTCATGAAATTGGCCAAAATGCTTTGTCTGCCGAACAACATGTTTGAATTCAGCCTCGTGCTGAGCAATGATCTTCTCCTTAGCCTGCTCTTTCAGGCGATTGTATTCAGCTTGGGCGATCTCTGTTCGGTAGCGCTCTTCATTGATTGCCTTTTGTAGATCCAGGCGAAGAGTGTCATTCTCCCGCCTAACAGAATCCAGCTCGGCAGCCAACTCGCGATTTCTGGCTGCTGCTTGTTCGGTGGCCGAAATAGCTTCGGTTGTGGCCTTTTTGGCCTCTTCAAGACTTTGTTTCAGATGCATCACCTCGCCGACAGGCTCCATGGCTAGGTGATGACCCAAGGCCAACGAACGCGCTTGCATCTCGCAGAAAAGTCTCCACTTGGTTCTCGTCTCCAGGCCGGCCAAGAACTCCTGCCCGAACGGCGACACAGCATCGGACCGAATCAGGGTATCGGCCGATACATCATCACTCAGAAAAGCCCGAGACATTAGTTGGGGCGGCACCACAATCACGGTCCGATTGGGTGATGCCTCGGGCACCGATTTAGCCTTCTTTGGATTCCCTGATTGTTCTTCAGAACCCTTCCTCTTTGTTCGCTCCCGATCAACCTCTTTCCCCTTTCTCCCCTTCTTTTTTTTTCGTTCGGGCGAAGGAAGCTCTCGATTATCTTGATCACGTTGGGGAGTGCGTGCAACAAGTCTAAAAGACTAGTAGATTTGATCAATGCATTAAGAACTTTAAATTCAATTATTCGATCGTTGAGATTTGATATATAACATGAATTATTGAATAGAGTAAGTCAAAGTAGACTTACTCCTAAAGTAAATGAATCCCTTCTCAATTTATATATATTGCAAACACTACAAAAAAATATTATATATAATGACATATAAAATATGTTATCATAGATACAATATATGTATGAATATATAAATCTATTTGACATATACTCACACATAATTAATTTAGTTAATTCTAAATAAAATTTAACAACATATATTATGTATTACTATAATTTATATGCTTATAATTTTTAATAATATACCAACATATATTATAATTTCAATATAGATAAATACAATTTTTAATAAGAGATATCATATCATCATATAATGTGTATCAATATATAATAATTTTTTCTTATGGGAAGTAACAAGTAAGAATGCAAAGTGAAGTGATAACAATTAAGAAAATATAAGTATTTCTCAATGAACCTGCTTACGAACTGGACATGCAGTTCCCATGCTGCAACGGTAGTAGGCTCGGGGACAAGGGTTTCCTTTCGCTGTCTTCTGTCCATATTTTCTCCATTGACACCCATCACCGATCTGAAACATTATTAAAATAACAATTATAATGCATGACCATGTAATTCCTCACACTGATTATTATACTTACTTTACGCCCTTGTCTTTTTTCCTTCACACGTGTTATATGTTTTTCTACCATAAATATACGTAGGTCTATATTTGTTTTCATCTTAAAAGGAGACTGTAAGTAATTAAGAAAATATAATTCAGACGCATTTGATGCGAAATGATTATCCTTTGAGATTTTATAAAGTGTTGATGACTATATACTTTTATATCAATAATATATTAAATATATATATATATATATTTGCTTTATCTTCTCT